AGTTTTAAAGTTTATGTATATAATATAATTCAATATATAATTTTATATTAAACAAACACAGTATTCTGGAAAAGAAAAAAAAAAGAACCAAATTCAATTCATGCTAGCATACTTATGTCATCCTAGCCTAAAAAATAATGCGGTTCTGTAAAGTAATTTGCCATCTAAGCTACCATTTCCATTCTCTATAGCTTTAGCAGCCATTTATTTTGAATGCAGTTGATAAAAAGAGATTGGTTACATATAATTTGGAATTTTTAGTAGATCAGTAGATTTGGAAAACTGGATTAAGTAAAGTGAGTCACCTTTCAGACATTTTCTTGAATACCACATCTTAGCAATTTAAAGGTTCCAGATACAATTTCAGGCATTACTGCCAAAAGTCACTAATGGCGGAAGCTAGAAAATCAGACAACTTCATTTCTTGATTTTCCATTGTTAGCCTTTTTTAAGCATTTCAGCAATAAACAAGGTGTTTCCAGTATTTCTGTAAAGATCAGTAAGTCCTGATAAAGTATGCTTTGATTGATGGATCAATTAAACAAAACGCTGGTCAGTCTCATTCAAGAAGGGTTTGTTACGGGTTTTTTTGTCAGTTGGAGGAGGGGAACCAGGAGGCAGAAGGAAGGCTGATCGTGGTTTGTTGGTTGGTTCTTTCATTTGCCAAAACCTTTCCTTTATTTGCCAACGTACCTCAGCCACAAGCCCTTCACTCTGACAGTCCAATGTAGATTTGGTCTGTACGAGGCTTGAAAGATAGTCACAGCAACAGGTTAATTTTGTCTGGGTCTTGCTTGGGAACTGGACAGAGACAAAAATCTTACTTTTGAGAGGTTTCTTGACAGAATCTACTTTATTAAGAGAAACACACTGGTGCTAGCAGAGCATCTGAAAGCTGCTTCTTCCAGCTGCAAAAGACCAGACCAGCATGCTGTCAAATAATTACATTATTTTATTGCTAAAGATGGTAGGCAATGATTTAACCTTATTATTTTTGGCTAAGTTTCAACTGATAGTTAAGCTTACAGCAGATTGCTTTGTAAAAATGTAGATAAAATGAAAGGTACTGTGGATTAGATCAATTTAAAATATAAGACTGACATACATTGAATCAGGTTTGTGAAAATTACTTTCATTTACTATTACAAAATAAATATAATTTTGTACTAGTAAATCTATTTCTAGTAATCTTTTCTGAAGTAGAAGGAAACTGTTAACAGCTTAGGCATATGACCTGAAAGCTCACAAAAAGCTAATAAATAAATTTACATCAATTTAACTTTTGTAATAGGACATTGTTTAAAATAATATCAAAGATAAAAAGTGCTGCTACATATTTTTTATGCTTCCTCCAAACAAGCTGTCTTACACTAAATACATTGCAAAGAGATACAGATTATTAAGTAGAAGTGTTAAAAACACCTCAAACTAACAAAAGCAGCAATTATTTTTTTTCTTTTTAAAATGTTAAATATGGGATACTCTGAGAATAAAGATCTAGGAATTTATGTTCCTGTAAAATCATGAACACAATTTGTCTAGAGTAAGAAACCAGCACCAAACTCCCCCCTCCACACACAGTGTGATATTATCCACTGGCTCTCTCTCACTCTAATAATAAGAAAGGAATCACTAAAAGTATTTGAACACTTAAAAACCATCTAATTCTGTATCTATCTATACAGTATATAAAGAATTCATATCCTTTTTCTGTTTTGTTTTCTATACTCTTAGTCTAAAAAACTAATTTAGACCCATTATTTTTGTAAAACACTATTTTTATTGCTTTTTATACCTACAGGGACATCTTCAAGCATATGAAGTTTTCAAATATAGGTCAAAAAATATTTCATAAAAAATCCACATAGTCCTATGCTACAACACTGCTTGAGAGTTCCTAGAGTAAAAGTGAAAAAAGCACTTACAAGTGCCAAAGTTGAGAGCAATGCATAAAGTAAAACCAGACTAATGAACTGTAAGGCACACATAGTATTATTTAAAGGCTATTAACTAAAAACTGTTATAACACCACCCTGGCAAGGAAATGGCAGGAGCTCTTTATACCGAATTTCTTCTCACATAATAATGTTCACTTTCATTAGTGAACATTTCAGCACATAAAATTTTTATTTCAACATTCCTGTAACGCTAATAATGAATATCCTACACCTGCTACTCTTCCTTTACACTGACTGCATGTGACTAATTGTGGCTGAGAGCACAGTAAAACTAACCTGGCCTGCTAAAATGAACCGGAGACAGAACATCCTTACCGGATTCTGGACAAACTCAATTTAGAAATTAATCTTTCTTTCTCTCCATTCTATACTTATTTTAATCCCCACAGCAAAAAATAAAGCATGGAATACCTATAGTTACATAATTTAACAGAAACAGTAGTGTGGGCATGGCCTGATAAGGGAACGCAGACCCCTCAAAGTAGTGTCCATGTGATAACTGGCACGTGCCTGGCTGTGTTCTACAACACTATTTACTGACTGATTTTCAGCAAATGTATTTTACAACTTGCCACAGTCAGACAAGTGCATTTGAAATACAAGATAATTACTATACAAACTCCTACTGTAGCTTGATGACACAACGAAACTAAACTTTGCCCGGAGTAAAGGAACACAAATATCTGTCTTCATGTCAATTTTTTAAATGACTGTTCCCGAAATAACCTTGCAAGGACCTCTATTTTGATGCAACTGCACCATAGAATGTGAATCATAACAAAATAAAATAAAAATAATACAGATCTCTGGTCATTAACTTTTTTTTTTTTTAGCATTTTTTCTGCCATAAACTTAGATTTTAAATTGATGATTACAAGGTAGTGGAAGACAAAAGGAAAATACAGCAAAAGCTCTCTAATGCTACATAACTTCCACATTATATGGAAATATGGGGCACAAAAGTTGGACAACATGTGTTATTGCACTGACTACAGCTCTAATAATGCACCTGAATGGAAGCAGAGTATATCTATTTAGCCCACTCATCTCTCATCTTTCTGAGAAGCACACCCTCACCTTTAACACATGAACTGATACAAAAATCTGCCTCTCATATTATTTATAGACATCATCTGTCTATATTAGCTGTACATCCACTTCAGACAAGACCATGAAAAGCTGTAGGAGTCACTTCTGCCTATAGCACTATTTAGACTACAGCATTCTCATGCGATAAAATAAGAGTTTAAAACTGGCTATGACGTTTAGAACGCAATAGAAAGAATATAGGGAGACATTGCAATAGATAAAGTATACAGTGTTCAAAAAAAAATTGCTCTTTTTTACTTCCTACTTTGTCTACTTAAACTGCAAAATCTTAGAGACTACCAGCTGGTTTCTGTCTACATGCAAGCTGGGTTTGAGACTTAAAGACTGACTAAACCTCCACATGGCAGAGCAAAAGAAATGCTAAATGACAGTATCATCTAATGTCTAGTAAGTAAACACATTTCAAGCTCTTGATAAAATATAGACAAGAGACTAACATGAATGAAAAACAGTTTTAATTTAAGAATTCTTGAAGTCATATCATCACTGGAAAAAAAAATTATTTTTCTGCTAAGCCAAAGTGTCCAAAATTCACATGTAGGGCCTCAGACATCCTGGTGTAAGAGTTAGGAATTTTAATTTTTATTTTTTTTAAAAAGGAAAATTAACATTCTTTACCAGTTCCCTATAACTACCTATTCAGTTTGTATAAGAAAGCATTATATAATAGAAGATTTAGAATAAAAACAGAAGAATTGTCAAGGTTCAGGAAGCACTACTTATATTCCCATTATTTATTTTATCAAGAAGAAAATATCCCTGAATATTTGTTTATTCCAACAGTGAGTCACACAAGTAGTTTGTGATTGCAGTAAAAAATAAAAGAAAATTCAATACAGCAAATAACAACTCTCATATACTTAAATATGGGGAAATGTCCTAAAAGTATTTTGCTTGAAATGCTATATGGAAGTTTTTTCTTTTTAAGTAACAAACATAGAGCTTCTCCATTTCTGCCAATTTGATCTAGAACAATCAGCATTATTATTATTGCTATATTTCTCTCGAGGCACTGGATGTTATCTACTATTAGAAACATTTTGTTAGTGGTGTCAGAATGACTGAATACAGTAGCTCCTCTTGCACTACTAAATTGCGTGCTCTTTCTGACAAAAACAGGCTCATCAAGACCACATATTTATTTCTCCTAGAGAACATTCAATTGTTTATACTGGTAGAACATTCTACTGGAAGTTTTTAAGGAGGATGCTAAAGAAATAGAGATTTTTTCAGTAATATGAAGTCATTCCATTTCAAAAGTTTCACCTGAGCAGTGTACTAATGCAGTCCCATGGCTTCTGGACTTCAGTATGAAGTCACAGAATCTTTTCTCCAAAAAAGTCTGGGCAAATTAACATTAACTTTTTTCAATTACTATACTGTCTTTAAAGAAGTATGACAGAAAAGACAGGAGGATTCAGGGATATGGAAGGAAGATTTCATTATAGTCTTAAAATATATAAAATGCTGTTGTAAAAAGGAAAGGTATGCAGCAATTATTTACGTAATTACACTTTTTATCTGGGTATGTTACATCTATGCCTATGTGCTTGAAATGTGAAGCATCCCCTCAACTGTCAACTGGAAAATCTGACATAACATGTTTACCCTACACCAAACTGGAGACATGTAACACTTATTTCCCTCTTACTCAAAATCCTGCCTTGGTGTCTGTAACAAACAGACTTAACCCGGAGCTTCGTTATATTCTGGAGCACTCTTAGACTGTGCTTCTTCGGGTACCACTGCTTCATGCTGCTCAGGATTTGCTACCATTTTGCTTTTTTATCTTACGATACGCTAGAATTGCTGTAAGCTGCAGTCTGTAATGTATTAGTCAAAACAAACAAATGCTGACAGTATTTTATTAGCCAAGAGCTGGAATTGAATGGAACAATGAAAGAATAATTTAGTTCTTTATTTAATTCTTACCTGAGAAGAATATGTGTGACCATCTGATCCACAAACAGGATTGGTATAAACTACTGGACACTGCTTGCAGTTTGATGAAATGGGACCACCCCTCCACTGTTTATGGCCTAAACCAGCCTCTTTCATACTGTAAGTAAACAAAAAGTATGTAAAAATAGAACATATTCAGGGTATTTTAATGAGCCTTTACACACAGTAAACCATACACAATTTCAGCCATAAAGTTTTTTCTAAGCAGAGACCTGCCACACTCTTCAGGATACACTCGCTCACCTTCGTACATTACTCATTGTAGCGATACTTGACAGTCGTGTATCATTTCACTTTCTAAGATATCTTAATAGAAGAAAGATGATGATTTAATAACTTATTGATCAGCAAAAGATGACAGATTTGTGTGCTATTTCCTTTTGTTGTTGTTATTAAGTAGTATGAAAAGAGCTACTGAACTAAGACTAGTGTTAAAAGAGGCAACATTTAAGTATTAGAACTTCATATGAAAAATGTATCTATAGAAGTGGGTAGACAGTCCCTCAGAGTACAGTTTGCCCGACTTTGAACACTGCCTTCCACAGCTTACATTTCATAAAATTCAGACTCTAGTATCCACTGTAAAGTTCAAAGGAAAAAAAAGGTAACCCCCTGGAGTACAGAAATGATCTGCCTAAGAGTTTATGTGTATGGTTACACAAACAGATCTAGCTAGATGGATCCTCTGAACACAGAAAACACCTACACTGGGTCAAACTAAAAGTCAAGTTACTGATGCTTCCTCAGAATACTCTCCTAGCCTTCAGTAGTTTGTTGTACATGGTCATACTCAGACAAGCATGTTTTCTCTCTGTAGCTTTGAATTCATTTTTCTTCATGAATTTTTCCAATTTTTTTTTGCATCTCTGAAAGCATTTAGCAGACATTGTATCCTGACACAGCTGGTTTATGTGAGTTGCCTGACATATAGACCAACTTAGAATATGCTTATATACATATATATTAAAGGCTTCCATATAAATAAGAAAATAGAATGACAATGTATGATTTTCATATTGTTTTTTCTGCTTAGATCCTTAACAAGGAATCTAAAAATTATTATGCTGAGAACCTAGCAATGACTTATCAGGACACACTCAACCAGCAGATGTTCAAATTTATCTTACAAAAAACTCAAATTTTCTTTAATGGAGCAGAACTCTTTCAGCTTGTTTCACCTAGCCATAACAAAGAACTGGTTTTTTAAATAGTCATGAAGCATTGTTTGAGAAGAACTTGTCCAGAATAAGAAAAAAATGGAATCAGAAAATATACACTCCTCACCCTTTGGTGCTATGATGTGCAGAGTAAAATGCTAAAAACATACACTCATCAGTAAACTTCTGATGATCAAAACCAAACCCCCATTTCTCAGCTATGCTAAAGTTTTTATGTTGTTCATAATTTTGGCTGTAAATGTGGTCTTTAAGAAGAAAAAAAATCATGTAAGATATAGAAGGATACATTCAGATTATGTTGTGTGGCAAAATTCTGAACTGCACAGATTTTTTTAATGTAAACAGGAACCATAAACACTGTACCCAGAAATTATCAGTTACTCTTGAAAAAGCTAGTAATACCTTCAATTACATGTAGCATGAGTGGCAAAATATCCATACAGAAACTTTTCACGTCCATCAGAAAGTATTAAAAAACTACAGAAACAATGCAAACATATAACCCTAATTAATAGTGAGTAACAATCCTTTCTGTTGAGTTACATCACTTGAAGACTAACTACAAATCACTTCTATTATAGTAAAGTTTAACTGCATCTTTGCTTCCGTATAATATATAGTAATAATCTGACAATTGCTGCTCCTCTCACTTGACTGAGAGTTGTCCAATCTCCCACAAAAGCCCCAGCAGAATTAGATTATGTAGATGGCTGCATCATTCTCTTACTTCTCAGTACTTTTATAGCTCACAATTTTCCAGAAGCGCCTCAGTAGTTTAAGGTTATTGACAGGACTGGAGTCTCAACTATCAATCTGACACAACTTCTGTTTATCTGAGATACAGTAACTTTTAGATGCTGCACAAATCATTTGCAAACATTCCAGACATCAACAGGGAAATCCCCACTGTTGTCAGCAAAAAAACAAAATTTGAAGCAGGATTTGGACAAACACAGAGGCTGTTGGGCATAGATACTCTAAAACAAAGAAAGGACTAGTGGTGATTACAGGGTTTTAGTATAGCTGTACCCTTGTACGTGCCATCAGTGAAGGTTAAAGACAAGATAAAACAGAGGGAAATCACAGATCTGTGACAATTAGTGTACAGGTATGAGAAAAACAGAGTTTTTTATGTAGTCAAACAGATTACCTTCTCCCAACTAACCTCTGCCTTATTAGGCTTTTAAATGTGAGCTGTCCCAGGGTACTCATTTAGGATGAAGAGAGTAAAGTTTCCTCTTATACACAGAAGTCACCTGAGACTTTCAGCAGATCACTCTTCAAAATACTGGTTTCTATAAAACTAATAATAATCTTCTACAAAACAGAAATATCTGTATTTTCCCCAACTTAGAATGGCAGATATCACGATAAATAAATTATAAATAATGATGCTTCAAAGGTATTGATGTAGAGATACCTGGTCATGGAAATGCTTTGGTTGGGCATTTGTTCAGAAGCTTTAGTATAAAGACGCAGACACGGGATTCTGTATTATCAGAGCTGCTAAAAAGCTATTTTCAGATTGTCAGTCACTGAGATGACATGCAAATACGAAAAGTCAATTAAAAATATTTTTAATACTAGTTATAGTAGATAAGTAAAATTTCATAAAATACATTAATAATGCCTTTCACTTATGTACTCAAACTTTTCCTTACATCATTATTTAATTGAATCACATTTCTTGACTTGTCCACTATCTCTTTGTTACCAGGTGTTCTGTCTATTTTTTTACAGCTAGGCAATGAACACACATATAAACTATTGACATGAATATAACTGAGAAACTACTGGGATGATATACATATTTTTACATTTTATAATGTTAGATAGGAAAACAAAGAGTAAACAAAGAAATCAGTTCCTTCATTATAAGAAACCACTTTTCTATCCATTCTATTTATTATTTTTTGATTTGATATGCAGGAAGCAAATCCAGATCACTGCAACTTACAGTTACTAAAATTCTACAATGTAGTTTTCTCATTCCATTGCAAACATAGAATGGTTTGGGTTGGAAGGGAAGTTCCAACCCCTTAGTCATGGACAGGGACACCTCCCACCTAGCCCCGGTTGCTTAAAGACCCATTCAACCTGGCCTTGAACACTTCCAGGGAGGGATCATCCACAACCTCTTTGGGCAACCTCTTCCAGTGTCTCATCACCCTCACAGTGAAGAACAAATTCCTTATAACTAATCAAGTCTACTGTCTTTCAGTCTGAAACCACTGCCCCTCGTCCTGTCACTACACTGCCTGAAAAAGAATCTCTCCTCCTTATGTTTTGTGGAGATGCCCTTTAAGTCCTGGAATGCCACTATAAAGTCTCTCTAAAGTCTTCTCCAGGCTGAGCAATCCCAACTCTCTCAGCCTGTCCTCAGAGGGAAGGTGCCAGTCCCTTAATCGTCTTTGTGGCCCTCCTCTGGACTTGCTCCAATAGGTTTGTGTTCTTCTTATGTTGGGGGCCCTTCTTAGGTATGGTGCAGGACCTTGCACTTGTCCTTGTTGAACTTCATGGGGTTGGCACAGGCCCACCTCTCGAGCCTGTCAAGGTCCTTCTGGATGGAATCCCTTCCCTTCAGCGTGCCAACCGCACCACACAGCTTGGTGTCATCAGCAAACCTGCTGAGGGTGCACTCAATGCGACTGTCCATGTTGCTGACAAAGATGTTAAACAGCATCAGGCCCAGTACTGACCCCCAAGGAACACCATTTGGTACTCGTCTCCATTTAGATATCGAGTTGCTGACCACAACTCTTTTGAGTCCAGAACACTCCTTATCAATGGAGTGGTCCAACACTCAAATTCATGTATCTACCAATTTAGAGACAATGATGTTGTGTGGGACAGCCTCAAATGCTCTGCACAAGTTTAGGTAGATGATGTCAGTTGCTCTTGAAACAAAGGTAGACAATCACTACAAATGTTTTGCACTTGTTAGTATTTTGTCACAATACATACATGATGCCACATAAAAGTCAACCTCTTCCACCAACAAACTTTATACTTCTAAATTTCCTGAAAAGGGCTCTGGGATCTTTCTAGTAATAAATTAATTACTCCAGAATACGCAAACTCCACCTTATCTGACATTGTTGACATCTAAAGGGTAAAATTAAATATATGGGTTTAATTTACCAGCAACATTTGTGATTGCATTAATTTGCATAGACTAAATTGTGCACATGCTTTTGAACTGAATACACAACTGCATGTCTAGAAACGTAATTAGCCAATCTGTCCAATTACTCTAGCCTATGTACCTGTTTGCATACATAAACTTACCTTCCTGTATACACAGTGATCGTGCCTGCAAATACTTTGAGAATGTTTAATGTAACTCACTGAAAATGTAGCTGCAAGCAACTCTTTGGCAACATGATTTATTTAATGATACCTATAAAATGCATGAGTGCCCAATTCACTTGAAACAATCATATTTTATAGCAAGATTTGACGCAGGTCTTCCAATACAGACTGACAGAAACAATGTTTCAAAGAACTCTTGGAACTCTTCTCTGATTATATTTGCATTTTTAGATATTTTAGAATTATTTCAATTTAGAGACTGACTGATTATACTTTGCCATGGCCTTTGGGGGACACAATCAAGCTGTGTCACATTAACATAATCAGAAAAAACACTTGTATCGCAAAGTCTAATTTGCTTTTACTAGAGTTGACTAATTCCTTCAAAGTTTCATTTTCATGTGGAAGCATCCTAGAAGAAAATTATGTCTGTCAACATACCGTTGAGATGTGTCTTTGACATGTCAAAAGAAAACAACACATTATTGCCCGTCTGTCTGTGCGTAGGTCTATGTTATTTTGGATGGAATACAAGAGGAATCTGTCTTAAGAAACTCAAAATAACTGAATATATCTGAGTCAAATACAGCAAGCAAAGGTTAATAAA